AGTACAATGCTATACATCAAAGCATAGCAAATTTATAACCTCTTAAATGTAACCTCAGGAAATTATTACTAAAACTTCTTGCCAAACATCTGAGTGCTGACAGACTGCCCTTCCAAGTTTTCATCTGAAGTTTTGAAAGCCAATGGATAAAGTCTAGAATTGCAGTTCTGATGTTACAAAATACTAACAACCGCATCAAGCATGAAAGGCAATGGAATTGCCAGGATCACAGAGCTCTTGGTAAATATTTCTTTCAGTCAAAGGCTGACTGCTGGAAAGAAAAAAAAAACTAACAAACCAACAAACTACATAAAAGGAATCATGTATAAAGAGCTTCACCAAAAAGATTCATCCCGCTTAACTTTAGCACTTAATGGAGAACTGCATTTCAGTGCCTTTAAGTTAATAGATGCCCATTATATACACAAAAGGATAACGTCTGGATGCAGATAAAGGATGCCACAGAAGCTAGTGTTCTATAACGTTCTGGACACAAAACTCTTTATCACAGGTAAGTAGTACTGACATGTAAATATTTTTACTTGTGTTTTTTTTTCTTTGCTGGAATTTTTCCAAAGATCATTCAAATTACTAACTTAACAGACAGCAATACACTTTTGTAGGGATTTTTTTGGCCAGGTTAGGTTTCTGTTCAGTGATTTGAATGGTCCTACTGCAGCATTAGAAGTGTGTCAGAGCTGGTGCAACAGGAGGAGGGAAGGAGGAGGAGAACAGAGCAAAGGGGTAAGGCAGTGTTATAGCTGTTGGGTCAATTCAGGAATGACATATAATTTCATCTGGATTTATGCTTTGAAGAAACATCTTTCTTACTCATTCTTCCTCAACTATACAAAGACATGAGAGCAATATGATGGGGACAGTTAATTAGTTAGTGGGAAGAATCAAAACTAAACCAAGCTGGAGGTTGGTGTGGTTTGGTTATTTGAGTAATAAAAGTGTCAATAGTGCAAGGTTAGCTGATTAAAATGAGAACAGAAACTACAAATAATAATGCAAAAAAACCAGTTTATCTGGAGATCTGAAAAACGCTTTTCTAAAAAAAACCTCCCCATTATTTACTGGAAGATTATTAATGGGAGACCCCATTGTTCATCCAAACAAAGTTTTATGTTTTTCTGATGGATCTGGAAAAAAAATAAATAATAACACTTTGACAAAACATATAAAATGTCTTATTCTAAAATCAACTGAAAAACCTGGCTCCATTAACTTGCTGTCTTGCACTAAGGGACATACAAATGGCATCAGAATACTGTGCACTCCAGACCCTTTTGAGAGCTCAAAGACGACAAGGAGCACTGGGAAAGCTTTATTATGAACCTCCAGCATGAGCTCAGCATGATCCTAGATACTGATCATTCATGATAGTGCCACTGAACTCCCTCTAATAGGAAAGCTTGTGTTTAACCACATAAAGAATGCAAGAAATTTTATCTTACCAGCTGATTCTCAGCATTCTAAATGAAAAACTAGATTAAAAAGTTTTCTACATTCATTTACTAATTAAGTCCGACAAAAAAGGAAGGAGTGGGTCAAGAAACAATTCAGAATTTGGGCCAAGAAAATAGTCTGAAAAAAACCCAACCTTCCTTTTTTCTCCTTCATGGGTGGACAGAAGTCTTTAAGGCTTTGTATAAGCAAGTAACTAGTTTTCACTTCCATTTCCCACAGCAAAATGTAAGATTTATCATCAAATTAGACATCTATGTAACTTTAAATAATGAACTATTTCATAACATTTAATATTTAGTGTAATTTTTTCCTGTAATAAAAGAGCACAAGTAAGAATTTTTTCCAAGATTCAAAGTATAACTACTTTCCTTCAAAATTTCCCGTTCCTTTTCTTTCTTTCCCAAGCAGGGGTGGTGCCAACAGGTTGTGCTCACAAAGCAGTCACACCTTGGTTGCCTAGTTTTAGTAGTGTCCTATCAATGAGCATGCAGTGCAGCTAATTAGAAACAGTAGAAAGTGATAAAAGAAAAAATTTGCCATGTTTTCTAAGAAAACTGTAACATTTCTCTGCAGGATTGTTTACATCCACACTACATTAACCCCTGTAAGTACCCTCTCCTGATATGCAGCAGTTTGTTTCTTAGTGTCATATCACCATTTCAAATTTTAAACTGTGTCAAGCAATCAAGAAAGGCTGGCAGAGGAAGGCTTGATTGAAGAAGAAAAGCAAATATTTGAGTTTGAAACAGACTTCGATGTTCCTCATACCCTGAATGTTAAGACATTGAGCAAATATTTCCAAAATTAGTACTGTTTCTCAAATTTCTTTTTACCTCTGTTAAAAACAGGACATGTTAGTCATATTGGTTTTGTCAAACAGTGAAAATGTTTTTTAAAGGTACCTCTGCAGAAAAGGATATAAATACTGAAAAAGAAGCATTAGAAGTTGCATGTTTGAGAGAAGAAAAGTATGAAATGCCAGTACAACGTACAAAAAAATCTCATAAGAAACAAAATATAAGTTAAAATTGTTTCAGGAAAATGTTTGAAAAGAGCAGGTGGCTTTTGTGTTTGTGTGTAGCTTTAACTTTTGTCACTTCTGTTTATTCCTAATGCAGCCTTTTGTTTTTTACTTCTAATATAGACTTCTTCCAGTAGTTTCACACTTTCTGAATTTCTATAAAAGGCAATTATCTCATGTATTGAAATCTTTGTACAGGATAGTGAGTTAGTCTTCGACTATACTTCTTTGGCATCTTAATAAAAGATTTAAATTTGCAGTAACATCACAATTTTCCAGTAATTATCCTTGCTGACGGAAAAAAAAATACAAATTTTCCTACTTCGGGTTAGTAAAGAGTTAACTGCATTTAAACAGTTTGCTATTTTAAATAAAACTGACATGCAACCAGTCAGATATACAGATCCATACAGTTAGAACAAAAAAAAAAGATGAATTATGGGTTTATGTGTTTGGTACGTGCTATCATGTAACAGGGTTACTATCAGCCTTGTTCAGTCATTGCACATACTAAACTGTCATGTCTTGTTAGGAATTACCTTGTTGCTCTCATGTTTGCAAGTAGAAACATTAGAGTTCTTGAATAGATAAACCAAAGATATTCATAGTTAAGATAAAATGAAGTTTAGGCATGTTAAAAGTGAATGCTAAAAGTACAAGCAAAATGTCTAAACAGTGTTAAAGCTGTCTTCCAGCGATGTGTTTCAATAGGTGTACAGTTTTGACTTAAGGTATTCCAGCCTGTGTGGTCTCAGATGGTATTAACTCTTTTTAATGGAATGTTAGAGTTTGAGGGGTTGGAATTTTTTTTGCTTTTATCTCTTTGTGATATCAGCTACATTCATAATGATGCTTTGGAGACAATTATAGTATTTTATACACTTCTTAAATAAAGAACTTACATTCATAATTAATTGTTTCTTTTCAAAGACTTTAATTTTAGAAGAAGAAAGTTGAAAGAAACCACTACAATTATACATAATTACATCATGTTTCCTCACAGTATTTTTCATATCATTAATATAACGATATGATAAAGCATGAATATAATGGTAAGGTTTATAATCTAGAAATGTTTAAATCATAGATTAGTTTGGTTTGGAACACAGCAAACAGAATTACTAGATTTCATATAACTTAAGGCTTACTTGGACTCTGCTGTCAGTGAAAGTATTTTGATTTGGTTCTAACAAAAAGGAGTTTTTCATGTGCTTGGAAGAGACAAACTAGTTTGGACCAATTAATGACATGGATTTTGATTTACTGATCTAAGAAGGGAATGAGATAAATAAAATGAAAAGGAGATGAGGGGAAACAATTTTGGAGGTGGAATGAGACTTCAGGAGGTGGATAGTCAATTTTCCATGAAAATAATGTATTAAAATGAGTGATAATCCAATCTCTGACAGCATAATTTAGGGGAGTTGTAGCTTTCTTGAAAGTAATCTCTCCATCTTTTCTCTTACCAGTAAGAGAAAAGAAAGATGTTGTCAGAAAACTATTGAAATAACTCTACAATCACTTTCTGAACAGGTAAGTGGGTAGCTAGGTCTCATCATTCTGTATCTATAATTTGCACTGTTTTTCCTCATATGCATAATTCCTGATTTGTTAATGTTGTATTTACTTTGCAAATCCTTGCCAAATCATTTGGCAGCTCTGAGAGAAGATTTAATAGCTGCTTAGGTCAGCTTTTGGTTTTGTATCTTCAGTACTCTTTAGCTTCAGAAAATTCTGTGGTATTATTCACATTTTCAGATTCCTGCAGTAAACTTCATTTATTTTCATCCTTTGTTTCAGACATTTAATCTGCAGATTTTCTCTCATATGCCACGACATTAATTAGTCTCTTAAGATTGTTTGGATGAAAATCTTGACAAGGGCGTTTAGGGTTCCCTAAATGGCTCAATTTTGCATACTTTTAGATCTGAGAGTGTATTCCAGTCCAGTAGCACCCTGATTCTTGCTCGGATGAAAGTCAGGTAAGTACATAAAAAAGTACTCCGACTCTTCTTGGAAACCTGTGTAACTATCGTCTTGTTTCCTCTCCCTAACCCCTATATTGGAGCTGAAAAGGAATTCAAAAGAGTGTATGGGAAATGAATTGAACAATAGTTTGGTCCAATGTTTGACTGCAAGGACTGGGGAGCACAGAGAGATCCTGGGGTATACTATGGCACATGTAGACCTTGCAGATTACATGTGTATCTGTTTCATTGTCTTTATCTAGATTCTTGTTAAATGCTTGCAATCACCAAAGGCTGTTCAAGGCAAAAAAAGAAAAAGAACAGAGACAATAAATCATCAGAAAGAATTTAACAGCTGAGAGTACAACTGAGACCATCCCTAGTACCTGACAGACACAGTCACCTCTGTTGCTGAATATGACACAGACAAGAAAACCCCAATGAAACAAACCAAAGTAAACCATTTTTTTCTCCATGGCTTAAGGACCAGTAGCAAAAAAAGTGCACTTATGGTAGTAATGCTAAAAGAGGAAGATTACCTCACGGTCATTTAGAAGTCTCTCCAAATCTGCTGCCATTTGATTCTTGACACGCAGCAAAGCTGTCTTTTCTTTATTTAAAAGACTGGTAAAAAGAGGATAGGAAATGCAGTAATAGCAACAGATAATCTCTTTTAATCTTGTGTTCTGGCTGAAACATGCATTTTCTGAAGCTAAATACTGGCAACAATAAAAACCTGCTCAAGTAATTGTATGAAATGATACTACTCTATATTCAAGCACTGAAAATTCTATAAATGGCCCCAAATGTACTGATACACACAACATCTTACTTTAGTCAAACAGAAAAAACTATTCAAGGCCTTCAGCAAATGCTTTTGTTTTTATTTTTTTTCTCTGAAAGTAATTTAAATGATCAGAATCTTCTATTATCATTTCTTGATTTCTTCTAGGCAAAATGATATTATTTTATAAGCAAAGTCTCCATATACCTACACTTCCATATCAAAATGTGGATTTCTTTGTTGTATTAGTCAGTAGTAATAGCACACTGTATGAACTCTTTGTACTGCTGTATTTAGAATTCTGAAAATAGCAAATACAAGGAAGAAAAACATCAAGCTCTTCACCCTTTAGCTGTGTAGTTTCTGTAAAAATTGTAAACATATTTTTGTTATTTTTATTTTTTTTATTCCAGGATAATGCATGGGATCAAGTTGGTCCTATGAACCAAGTATGAAAACTGATTTAGCATGACGGAATGCCTTTATAGTAGAATGTAAAATTTAACTTTAATCATTCTTTGTCTTCATAATTACAGAGCATGAACATTTGAAATGTTTAGCTTACACATTGTGATTCCAGGTAGCAGTTCTATAATAATTAAATGTATTTTCCTATTGAGCCCCAGCATTAATTTCTAACATTAAATTTTAGACTAATGCATGCATATTAGCAGTATACAATCTATTTTGTTAAAACAGTCACAGAGATTTTCTTGGAAAACATATTATATATGCCATTAGCATAACTTAACTAAATAAGTTGTACAATATAAACTGTAATGTAAGTCAACAACTATGAAAAATGCAATTCTGCATATGGAATGCAAATATGTTATACTGCAAACAGGTCAGGAGTTCAAAAGCAAATACATTAAAATTTTATAACTGGAGCAATTACATATGTTGCAAACACAAATTATTTAATATTTCCAATATTTGATCCAGAAATTATCAACAAAATAAATCAATCTTTAATTTGCCATGTATCATCCGCTTGTTTCAAATAAGGAACATCATCCTTTGCCCCAGAGATGTTCTGGCAGTTCCTTACAAGCTCTGTATCGTAAATTATGACTGTCAATTCCTTCTAGGCATTCATTAATCCTAAGAAAAAAATGTATCCTTCTGCCAAATTGCTCAGTTGTTTCAACTATTTAAAAGAGAAGTAATAACATAAAAACCTATAAAAATATTTTAATATTTTCAAGACTTTTATTTTCTGTCACATTTTTAATCATGATGAAATTACCCTACCTTCTTTTTCTTGGGTTCACGGGTTGTAACTTATGTCACTTTTTCTTGGATTTCTGTATTTCCTGAGAACATAAACTAGTCCTTCCAGAGGCTCACAAACGTATTAGAGAAGCAATAATACAAGTTTCTCTATGACTTCAATAGTGTACTGAATAAGCATAAGCATCAGTGTTCACAACTGAACCAGAAATTCATGTTTGAGGTTCAGTTTCATCTACAGAACAGAACCTATTCTACTTATACTGTTTATACCTTCTGAAATTACATGAGACTAATAGGTAGAGCAGTTCTAATTTTCTTTGTTTATAGTCAAATAGAGGACATAGACTACTAATCATTCAGTAGTACTTGATGTGTTTTCTATCATACACATTGATATAAAATTACCAAAGTATGTGCTGACTTTAGATTTTGTAGTTTTGCAACATTTGTGCTTTTTCATCATTGCAGATAGAAGGGAATAATTAATGTACTCATGAAAGAATAGTGCAAGAGGCGTATACACATTTGACAGAGTGAGATAGCAGTTACCAGACAGAATGATAATATATGACAAGGTTAAACAGAAATAAAAGTTCCACTTTGGAAAGAAGACTGACCATTTCAGTCTCTAGTTTTAAAATGTTCTGAACCAGCATCTTGGATAGCAGCAAAGCTTTAACCTACCTTACACTCCCACTGAAGAGTAGTTTAACCTAGTCCATGTTTAATTGTCAGTGTGACAAATCAAGAGAGCAGCTTTACAATCTCTTTTAGCTGACCTAAGTGAGAACTGTTGAAGGATCATCCTTCCCTTGCCACATCCTGGTAACCTACTCTTTCTGTTGGTACTAGACAATTTGTCACCACATAAGAAGGTCCCTTCACTGATCTGGATGGACACTGGAGTCCTTTCATAGGTTATCTTTCACATGGATCACAGAAATAACTTGATTTACCATGTATGGTGGACACCTACAGCTGAAGGCAAGGATGAGCTGCTCCATTTGGTGATGAAGTGCCTCAAGTGTCTTGCTATGATTCTGAAACCACCATCTATGAGTCTAGGCAAACCAGGTTCTCACACTGGAGCTGAAGGATTGAAACTTTCATCTAAAAAGATGGGACCATGATGTGGTCCACAGTCCTGGTAACTGATGGCCTCACCCTGACTGTGGAGCCCATTATGGTATGTCATAAAACTGGCCTCAAAAGTCCAGGTTAGAGAACTAACTGAAAAGCAGTTCAGGTCCTGCTTTTTCTGTGTTCTTTTCTAGAAGAAACCAGATTGTCTGGGAGGGCATCCAGTTTCATTCCATCATGCTTTCAAAGCCTAGCCAGGTTAATTCAGGTACCAGGAATGCAGGCTTACCATAAATACACTTGTCACATGCATACGCATTGCTCATAGCAACCACTGGCTTGTTTTGTCTTGCTTCACTCAGGATCTAAAGTCAAGGTAGCTTGGATATCGTATGTAACACATTTTTAGGTAACATGATTTTTCTGGAGAATGGATACTAACATTTACCAGTTTCAGCCTTATAAATGCTTTTCAATTTGGGCAACTAAACCATTTTAATTCTTAATTGTAAATATACTAATTACTATCCTGTTCAGAATCTTCTATAATTAGATATTCTGAATAATATGTTTATGCTGGACATACAAAATAAACATGGGTTTATATAGCACTGGATTTTATTATTACTTCTATTTAGTTTGGAAAAAAAAAAAAGTATGTTTCTTTTTCAGTGAACTGTACTCCAGATGCTGTGTGGATTGTGCCTTTCTGCACAATGGATTGTGCCTTTCTGTTACTTTGCCCTTAGCATGAAGTTGAATAGTCCAATATTGAATTTTTTTTTTTTTTTTAAATTTTATATTCAGATACAGTATTACCACTGGAAAAAAACCAAATACAAATAGTGTATATATAGAGGTTTTGTACATATAACTGAATATATAATATAGCCATTTAGTGAAGCTATCCCTTCTCTGCAAATTACACATGACTAGCTCAAAACAGGCAGTTAATTATTAGTCTAGGTTAAATTTTGTTCTAAAGTCATGAAGTTAGAAAGGGTGGCATAAGATGTTTTGCAAACAAAAGTCCCTTACAAGAGAGAATACATGTCAAATCAGTGATCTCTCATTGTGCAGCTAAATAACCACAGCTCAGATTTTCAAACAGATTTAGGAGAGTACTGCTCAATGACTTTAATTGGAATGCTTCAGGAGGCTTAAAAATCTATCCATAAAGTGTACAAACTAAAATCACTTTTTCAAACTTTTTAAAAAAAAAACAAACCCAAACAACTTTTTAAAAGTTGTATTACAGGTCAGAAAATGTATAAAAAGGACATATTTCTACAAATTTTGCTTGGAACATTTCTCTGGTAAGCTGCAGGACTATTGGAATAGATGGTGCATACTTCACAGAATGGTAATGTTCTCATAAAAAGCTCATTTGCCCATTCTTTGACAGGAAAAAAGTCATCTAACACCCTATGCTGAGCTTTATGTTTGGATGGCAATTAGAGAACCCAAAATGTTTAGGTAAGGAACATTTCAGTACAAAGCTTCTCAGTGAGCAAAATCCTTATATGGCTTCTGGATTTGCCACACAGTTAAGGCTTTTGAGTAGCGCTTTTGGGTAAGTGAACTTCTTTTAAAACCAGCCATTGGTACGGAGAAATTTGAGTAACTGCATTTAAAATAAACACCTTCTCTTTATGAATGAAGTCCTTTTAACATCTCCAGTTATTTATAAACCTAGATGTTTTTAGCAGAAAATTATGTACTAAAACTACAATTACTTCACTACACACATAAGAATGAAACTCAGAGATTTGTTTTCCCACAGCATGACATAGTTACAAGCATTTCTTTTCAAAAAGGAGTGCTAAATGTGATGTTTTCATTTCTGCCTAAAGAACTGTACGCTAGAGAGATTTCTTTATAGCAGCAAGGAGTCATCCTCACACGCAGCACTGCTCTTATTAACCATCACTATTTACTTTTATTAACAAGAGTGCTATGTGGTCTAATATAAATAAGAAGTTACTTAGCAGAGTATTTTGAGATATGCAGACCACCTATAAATTCATGCTGAAGATTCCCTGTCACTCAAGACCAAGGTTTTGTATCCGTAACATATCTGCAGGTGCATAACTCATTTCAGAAGCACGAAAAGTGTTCTGCTTCCAGTGCCAAGTTCTGTTTGAGGCCAAGTGCCAGCACAGCCCATGGCCTGCCTGGCAGAATCCTAAAGGGATGGGAATGAGAGAGGGAGTGAACAGTATATGTGGGCAACACCTGACAGAGCTTCCATTACTCCTAAACAACCTCTCCTTTGCATGGTAATATGCTTGTGCCCTCACACTTGAACCTCAGCAGTGGTATCAGCACACCTTTAATAACCTGGCAGTGGGTCCCTAAGTTGTTCATGCAAATCACAGTAATGGAGCAGCACAGCTAAGCATTCACCCAAACTACAACAGCTTGTGCAGCTCTTGTTGCATGGAGGTAGAACTGGATCATCTTTAAAAGTTCCTTCCAATCCAAACCACTGATTCAGTCTGACAGCTACTGACACAGGCAACCTTGAATATCACTTGAACAGTCCTTCCAAGTGAGGAAGACAGTTTGATATGAAGGCTCTGAAAGACAGCCTTAGCTCTACAGGCATGACACTTAAGGATGAAGGCAGGCAAGCTGTTCTAGTTTAAGTGAACTTTGAAGACCACACTGGAAAGAGACTTAAGACGGGTCTTCAGAACTTGTCAAAAATATTATATCAAAATGATCTGCTTGAATCTTTCCCATTCCTCTTGCAGAAATAACTGCTGTCCAAAATGACACTTTAATAAAATTGTGAGTGTGGAGAATCCTCAACACATCTGCTGTCTGTTAAGGGACCGTTACATAAGTGAATTTAGACCATTTTCTGTAAAATTGATGAAGATAATGGCCCAAGAACATCCAAAATGAGATTTCTGTCATAGATAGCCTTCCTCATGTTTGTCTTCCTCTTGTGCTGATTCAGCAACAGTTTGTTTCATCACAGAATCAAACTCACATCCAGTACAACCAACAAACCTCATTAGACATGGAAATACAAAGTGCTGCAGGTTGCTGCAAAACATTTATAGGTTGCAAGAAAGTACTGACTCATCATTCTGGGAAATCTGCTGCAACCTAATCACCCCAGGAGTATGTTCTAAAAAAACTATTGGCCATGATCACTGCCTACAGAAGGCAATTATGGATTAAGACTAAAAAAGGTAAATTCACTTGCAAATAAGTCCTTGCTGATCCCTCCACACTCAAGTTAAGTGGGAAGTTATAGAGAACACTGGCACCAATAAAACAGATGTGCCTGTTCTGCTTGGGGAATCCATGATTTACATAATGCAGAACCATCTCTCTTGATGAGCATGAGCATGAAAAGAACACCCACCACTGGATCTACACACTGAAAAAAGGAAGGAAGGAAAATTATGATCAAGCACAGAGCAGCTGTGAGGATAAATTAAGTATTCAGTCTTGATTGTCAGGGTGCAGGCAACACTACATTAATTTGTCTCCTATCTAGTACTCCAATATGAGATTAAAAAAAATGCATCCAAAAAATCACAAGTATTTTTGAAGGGCTTTTGAAAACAAGAATTCAAGCGCTATTTTTCCTTTAGCTGATTCTTGTGAAATTGCAGTTTAGAAATAAAACTAACACATTATTGTACTTAAAATGTTAAAAAATATTGTACCTTATGTAAGTGTAGTACAAATTAAGCCTCAGTTTAAAGGTCACTGCAGAATTGCAGTATTAACTATAAATCATAGGTAATGGTTGAAAGAACAATTTCATTTTGAAATAGTTTTACAAATATTAAAATTTTCCCTCAGCTCTGAGATACAGAGAAAACAGGCTTCATAAACTATGTTTAGTGTTTTCACTAATACTTTTCTAATAGCACCAACATTATCTGCAAGGCTCTCCTTGAGGAGCATTAATTCTCTGAACTCATCCTCTCAAAAATATTCCACGCACAAACCAACAAAATGCTGTTTAATAAACTAAGAGGGATAGGAATAGTGGGCTAAATCTTTTGATCCAACAGAGCTTCACTTGGCATATATTTGGTAGGGATTATCATTAATTTACTTAAATCCCATTCTGATGCAGTTCTGGAATAGCTGAGAATAATCTGAAATCACCTAAGGGATATTTTAATTTAAAACAGATAGCTACAGTATGTGTAGAGTACTATGATTTCTCATGAGTGCCAGAGAATACCAGCTAACAATTTAGAACCTTTGTTTTAAATGTTGAGTTATGAATAGCAAAATTAGTGACTACTAATATGCACCAAAAGACCTAAGACATTAGGCTTTTCCCAAGAATTTCTCTGGCCTATGAAACTAGGCCAACTTGTGATAGTGGAGTAAAAGCTATTTTCAGTTTACAAGGAATACTGGAAAATACAGAAAAAAAAATAATCTTACCAATATATTTGATATGCATAGTAAGTGTTACCTTTTTTTGCTATATAATATTTTTTGTCAGGCCACACTTTCATTTACAGGAACACATCTGAATAGACACATATGTAAGAAAGTATGTATGATTAAGTATTAAAATTAGGGTGAACCCTAGTTTTATTTATTTTAATTGCTTCAGTAGATTGGTGGAAAACCCTATATTTTTTCATGTAGTTGCTTCATAACAGAATCACATTAATGTCTCCTAATACCTACTGTTTGCTTTTCCTAAACCAAGACACCACATAAACACCTAACACTTAAAATGCTAATTCTTCTGCAGAGTAGTGGAACTTGGCTATCAACTTCCTTGAAAATCAAAGGACATTATTTTCTAACAGCTTATCTGGTAATCAGGTGTTAGGGAAGTTGCTGGCAAGTTGATGCTAGGAAGTTGCTCAGTGGTCAGAGAGCTCGGACAGATGGATACAGCAGCAAATCAGAGAGTCTCCATGAGACCATCTTCTCTAATTATGGCTGAAACACCCTTTTACTTGTGGACTATTCTTATTTTTCTCTGACTTTTTTTCTTTATTTTTACTATTGTACAACTGGTGTGTCATTCTTTCCTTTTAATCTTCTGAACTTTACTTCATGATAGCTCTTTCTCAATTCCAAACTCATTTTAAACCTGGCACAGCTACTTTTCCAAACGTTAGGTTTAGACCTAAAGTTCCCTTTTCTGACATTTTGAGAAAAAATAAAAAGTGTTAGAGTTCCAGCACAAAGACTGGAGTTGGTCAGTGACGGAGTATTAGCATCTCAACTTTGTGGACAACAGCACAACTTTTTTCTAATGACAAAAATATAAGTGATTTTACCTTCAATTTAAGAGAAAGTAAAATAAGAATCAATGATTTTAATTACCTGACATCTTTTTCAAGTTGCGTAATATGTTCTTTCTGTAGACTTATTTGAGAATCTCTCTGTTGCACAGTTTCAATGAGGTATTTGTATGGCTGTTGTGCTTGGTTCAACAAAGAATTTGCTCTGTCAAGCTACAAAAAAAAGGTAAAACTACATAAATTTTTAACTTGTAAAGCATAATTACTTGATTATTACTGAATTATTATTGGATACTATTGACTTTTACCAATTGCATAGTAAGATAAACTTCAAACCTGTTATTACACACACAAAAAAGGAAACACACCACCTCCAAATTGATAACTAGTACATTATCTTCTCACTTTTCTGTTCTAATTGTGCGCTATTTTCACTGCAATAATGGTACTACTCTCCCTAATCTGCATTTCAAGGGTTTTAATAGAACAGCTTCCATTGATTAAGAAAAGGAAGTAGAGTCAATGTGTCTGTTTATGGTCTTATTGACTTACTGTGGTCTTTTCCTCCCTCCTTTAAAATGCTGAAAAGGTTGTATCATAAATACTGCACTTAAGTAGCAGTATTTGAGCCAAGTTCAAACCAAAAGCTGATAAAATCACTTTTGCATCAGCTTTTTAGCCATGTTCTAGACTTCATCTAGATGACTGAACAAACTTGTGAGTCAAAAGAATAATAATCGGCTACCTAAGTATGCTGTAGTCTAGAGGATCTCTGGTTTGGTTTTAAATTTAAAAAAAGTCAAGAAAGACAACAGCTCAGAGTAAAAATTATGTAAAGATAGCAAAGAAAAGTTTTAGAACTTTACACAAAAAAACAATGTTTAACTTTGTGCTGGATTGTATTGTGATTTAAACTATACAATTATATGGTAAAAGATCAAAAATTTAATGGCAGGATAAAAATGAGCTGAAGGTACTCCTGTGGAAAGTTGCAGGAATTTGAACTAAGGTCATTGATACTGAATCTTTCATCAGTGATCTAGAACCAAGTATAGAACTACTGTGGGTAAGGAATGTATTGAAGTGGAACACAGAAAAATTTAAAATAAAGAAGAAGGATAGAAGAATACCAAGCATAACAATGGATTCACCAATTTCCTGATGTCTTCCACTAAGAACATGACAGAATATGCTTTAATCAAATAGGAATTACCATGGTATACCTAAGAATACATAACAAATTATAGTATTGGTTAAAAAATCCCCAAACTTGACCGTTCATGTATCTTTCACTGAAATAATCTATATAAATATATATATATATACATACAAAATGTGTAAAATTCATGTAATTTAAAAATATGTAGGAATTCAAATATTTGCACTCTGTGAAGTACTTGGGTGTAGTAATTCTAATTTGCAATTACTGTGGCTTTAAAAATCAAACTGTTAACCACATTCCTGAAATAGTATGCATAAGAATTACATATGGTAGCCACATTTAATAGCAAACCTAGTTGTCCTTTCATTCCTATGAGAAAAATTAAAAGACAATCTTGAAGATTTTTAAAAAAGTTAGCCTTCCCTAATTCTGGGACATTTCAAGTTGAGGTTGAAGTTGAGTATCTTCAAAAGTGATTTAACAGAAAAGCTGTGTAAGAAGTAGTGATACATTCATTGAACAATTAAGTCTCAAACAGAATAAATTAGCTTGGCTGGCTGTTCTTCTGTTCAGAAATCAAAACGCTGTCTATCTGGCTCACATTCTTGTTTAGCCTGTAAAGCAATCCTCGTTTCAATATTAGTTGCAAAACACAATATAAACTTCTTTGAGAACTTTTATCATCGAATTTTGGTTAATTATGAAGTATTTTTTTAACATCAAATAGATGAAAAAACACAGTTTAGAAAATATTTCATTTTATGAACAGCTGTTCTGCAATGTTTCTACATATTTGAATTTTTGTGTAATAATGATTTACCTCTTGTGAAATCTGTATTACTTGTTCCTTCTGATGTTCCAGATCTTTTACAAGCAATGAGTTTTGCTTTTCTAGCTGCAGTAATCTTCTTGCCAAGTGAACACTGTGCCAATAAAAAGCAAGCTCAACTTGATTTTTTTCCAAAATAGGCAAAATAAATTCTCACATTTATGTTTCAGGAATGATTGCCTTAATTTTTCAGCAATGCTTAAATATTAACATATATAAACTACATAGTTAAACATGCTGCATGGTCAAAGTTAGAAAAACACGTGTAAATATTACAAAATTTAACAGCATTAAAATAGCATTCCCACAGTTATGCTATTGTAGTATTTTATACAAATAAAATAGTAGTATTTTACCTATACAAATTGTCCAATACTACACAACTGGAGAAATACTGTTAACATCCTTAACCTAATTATGATTATTTACTTTTTAGCAATTTTACAGACTCACTTTAATTCTAACTTAAAAATTGTTTAAGAATGGTCATTAATACACGTTTTGCAGTAAGACACTGAAAAATGCAGTATTTTATCCCTTTCAAAAGAGAGGAAAAATTGTTTTGTCTGACATTTAATATGCTAAATAAGTTATTTCTAATTTTGTTTTAAATAAACTCTTAATTAGAGTCACAGATTAACTTTGAAGAGAAAGGATTATTGAACTACTTAAGCAACCTAGTTAAAAAATTAAATCCTCAACCTCTTGCAAGCTTCATGTCCAGAATCAAAGTTTATTATCCACTCAAGAGCATATAAGCAGCAATGGGACGATTCAATATGCACTGCAGAGCCCACTAGCAGACATCTAACCTAGTCTTCCAAACTCTTACATATCACGGAATGGGCAAGGTTGGAAGGGACCACAGTGGTTATCTGGTCCAACCTCCAGAGCACATTGTGCAGGACTGCATCCAGGTGGTTCTTGAGTAACTCCGTAGCCAGCTCCTGACTATGATACAGAAGCTAAGAGAGGGTAAGTGGTCTAAAGCAGATTGACAGGGAGAGATTATTTACTCTGAAGATTAGGCTTAAGAGTGCATAAATCTAGATGAGTGTACAAAGTTTATCTGAAAATTTGACCGGCCATAACCTCCATCTCTTGCTCAGTAAAATGGAATAGACTTCTGGATTTGGCAGAAGTCTAAACATTCTTCATCTATGTTACAAACATACTCTTTCATGCACTAATCTCACCTAGTACAAAAGAGAAAAGAACAAATTCTTTGACTAGTAGCTATTAGAGTGTAAGGGAAAACTTGGATACCTTCCCATGGCAAATTTAGGAAGGTAGCCCATTGTAATTTTCCCAGCTACAGCTATTCAGTGAACATCACCTGAATTTGCAAATATTTAAGGATAACAAAAGTACACATTTCAAGTATACTTCTCAGTATGTTTATTGACTAGTTTAAATTGAAAGCAAAGAGACAAAGGGACTAATGTGCAAAGATGTCTTATGCCAGAAACATTTGATTCCAACTATACTAGAAAATTATGCAGTGCTCAAGAATGTGATAATTCCTTGTTAGCAAACCACCAAAGTCATCCTGGTAGTGCTCTGCATTCTCTCATTAACACCTAAAGCAGCAACTAACCCAAGCAGTTCCTAGGCATAGCTGACAAGTCAGCATGGGCTAGTAAATCATCGCCAGTATGTTGTTCACACATAACTTAACCTACACGAGAATTATTTTCCAGCAATGGGCTACTACATTAATTAGGTCTTGATGCTTCAGAGTGTCCCCAGGCATGCTTAATTTAGTACTATGGGTGTACAATACCCATGTCTGAAGTAAAGAGAGAGCTGTCTCTGGCAAGGGGCCAAAAAAGTATAGACAGACCCCACACTGCTTGGAAAGGTTGATTTTGTACAAATTTTCAGAGACTGAAGTGCTTGATGTGAACATAAAAGAGCTCTTCATTTAGGATCCTATATGTCTGGGATTAAAGAGCAGTTAGTGGACTCCAGAAAGGAGATTATTCACATTTCTAATACAGTCTCTTTCCTTAAGCAATTCTGGACAGCAGCAAATTTCTGTGTTTCTTTAATGGTGCTAAACATAGAGGATGGTGTCAGAGTCTTTGCTTTTAAAAACTCTGGCAGCCAAAGGTATCATACATATCATCTGCATGGCAGTTCTCCTTGAATCAAAACAGCAGGTAAACAATACACAGTCTTTTATGGCTTTTTAATTCTAAAAGATAAAGGAAGTCTATGAAGTCTCCAACATTATTATGAAGGATTAAGTCAGTTTATTAGTCAATGCCTTTTGGAACAAAGGTGGAGTATATGAGTCATTCTGACAGAGCTGCTTCTAAGCACAGAAAGTGTCTTCCAAGCATATCTGAAATCCTGGCCTGATCATCAGACTCAGAATTCAAAGGAAATTTAACAGAGTTTTTATATATATATAAATAATCTAAACTGAATCTAAAAAGGTGAGGAAAAAGAAGGATTGAAGTGGAAACTTAGAAAAGTGCCCAAACTATTGACAAAAGAGGAATAAACTGAAGCTTTAGGAAATGGTGCTATAGAACTCACAAGTTTTCTAAACCAGATGTCCAACAGGGCTTTTGAGGTTTTTTGCACACTCCTCACCTTCCAGGGATGGTGTTTCCACACCTCCCTGGGTAGCCTATTCCAATGCTTGACAATCACTTCTGTGAAGAAATTGTCCAACCTGAACCTCCCCTGGCAAGCCTGAGGTCACTTCCTCTTACCCGTTGTTAGTTGCGTGGGAGAAGTGAGTCATAGCCACAACACACAGGCTTACAATGAGCCATTCAAATGTCACTATTATTTCTTAAAGACAATGCATGATATAAATTTATTCGTTAAAAATGACTATGATCAAGAGGTATGTTTTTCACCTATGCATCATTTTAGTCTATTAATCAAATTTTCAAATTGGCCAAACCAGAGCAAACTGAAAAAAAAAATGCAAGTGGAGTCAGGTCCTGTATTAGTGAAGATAAAACTGATGCTCTGAACTGTTGTCCTTCTTAATATCATGACAGATATGTTTTTCTTACTATTAAATACAATGATTTTTAGAGTATTAATAATGCATGTCCTATTAGATAAATGTAAACATTGTAACGAATCTGTTTTTACAGCTGCTTAGTTTTATACAATTATAAGTAATCTTTCTGAAAGTCAATGAGAAGAGGTTTTACAATCACCTAGAAAAAACGTATATGCTCATTCATATCCATCAACTTCACTAACAGGTCCTGGTCCTCAATCTATTCCTGTATGCTTAAGTCATTATAAAACCTCTTTATGTTAATCAAGCTGGCTGGATTCTAAGACAAAACATGTAATCTTCATTTAGTTTATCTTGAACAAGTAAATTCATGAGGTACTTTTTTTTTACCTTTGCTTTAGTCGTCTTTTGGCTGTTGTAGGAACATTAGCACCGTATCCATATGAGAAAAGAACCCTTTCAGCTTCAACTTCATCTTCCACTGCAAAAAAATGCAGAAAAGTGCTGTTGAAGAACAGTGTCAGAACTTACAAACTTCTAAGCAATTCTATTTATAACTCAACATGCAAAAACATTTTTCTAGAAGCTAAATTTTCAGTTGGTGCAACCTTCTGGACTTGAGTGAACAGTTTTTTCCCTATTAGCATTAAAAATAGTGCCACACTTTAATTACTTACAATACTTTTTATTATTAACGTAAGACTTATGCAATATGAAAGTAAAGGAAAATAGTTTAAGTTTAATTCAGTAGTAGAAGGTTAGGTTGCTTAAGTTTTTTAATCTAAAGAATTAATTTTCTGTGCACACATGAGAAGGTAGAGGAAGATATAATTAGGGAGTGTTTAAGGTGACAGGACTAAGTCCATAGGACCAGAAGGGATACCTAATGTTGCTATGGGAGCTGACATCACACTGAGGCTGCTCACTGTGGTTTTTGTGAAAGGCTGTGGTGATCAGAAATTTCACCACACTTGATGAAAACAAATGCTACCCATATCTTCAGAGAAGGGCAAAAATTTTATTCTTATGTATATGAAAAATAGAAATATTAAAATAATCTCTGCCTCCATAGGTGATTGATTTCTGAAAATGCATTTCTAAGGGTTTTAAACAGATTATAATTGCTTTGAAAAGAAATCCCAATAGCAGCAAGATTAAAATGTGTATGTTCATATTTCAAGTTCTGAAATTCAGATTTCCTCTCTCCTGTAAGAAGAAGTGGACCAGAAAAAAAAAAAAAAAAAGAAAGAAAAAGAACAAGTATATGGGTGAAGTAGACTGGAGCAGAGAGGGGAATAGAGGGGTAAAGGGGGACAATGAGAAAAACGGGAGCGGCAGGGGTGTGAGAGAAGGAGGGAGAACAAGTAAACACCAGCCCAGGCACCACACAAAAGCTTTGATGAATCAAATAGTTGGAAACAGGAGAAACAAATATAGGAAATGATGTGAGTCCTGTCTGACTCATTTTTCTTTATGCTCAAGTGCCTCAAAATCAGAAATATCTTAATTTCTCAAAAAATTGTAAAATGCTGTAACTTCTGTTCTCAGTTGTCTAATACCCTTTAATGCTATTTTAAACAAGGATTCTTAAAACACATTTAGAAAGAGAAGAGCCTCTAGAAAAGTACCTGTGGAAAGTCACATGTCTAGTTACATTAAAAACAATATACAAATTTCAGTCAGTATGACAGAAGAAGTTTACTCATGTGGCACTACAAAGATAGCAGCACTTCAGATCCGTCTTATACATGACAGGGAATTCTTCAGTGCTGTAAACACCTCTGGTTCAGAAAAACATAAAGAATAACTTAACCTGCCTTTTTAATACCCTTCTGTTTGGTTACATATACAGTGTCGTATGACTCAGAGAAATATCAGAAAGATCATGTCCTTTATCAGAAAGATCTGTCCATAGTATCCAGTAGATGTTTGAAGACAAGACATCATGAAGACAAACAAAAAAAGAAATTGGAAATGTTGTAGGTATCAAAATAATATTCTTTATCAGTTTGAGCTTCTCATACAACATTCCAGGCACTTCACCTGACTTTATGATGTAAAATATACATTTTACAAGCTAGGGGTGCTAATTAATGACAGAATCTTATGCTACTCAGCAAGGATGTGCCATTGTGAGGATACAGATAAGTTCAATCTTTTTCTTAGAAAGATACTAACGAAAGGAAACAAGAAAAATCAAACACTACTCTACAATAAAAATACCCTAATGTGAAGATTGTATCCTGAAAAGAAAAAATAGACAAATACTAAGGAAATTTACTACTGTTATTTATCTGGAAACCTCTCAGGGATTTTAAGAAGTGGCTATATAAATTCTTGATAGCTTCCTGAATAGGATGTTTCATGTCATTTCAATATTATTAAAGAGGCATAATGATCAGGGAGTAACAGTAAAAGTTCAGAAATCTCTTCCATATGCATATTTTCCAAAAGAAAAAGGTATATATATATATATAAATAATTTATATATTATATGACAAAACACATCTCACATATGTAAATAAATAAACAGTTTCTTAAAAAGTCCAGAGAACCCAACCCCCACTGGCATCCCCAAATATTGTAAAACAGAAGCAGCTTCATGACTCAGGATGAAGAAAAAAAACATTATATGCTGTTTAAATATAAAGAGGTGACCACAGGAATGAAGATTAATCCTTATTATCACTAAAGGTTGTGAAAAACTCTAATTGTCTTCCACACAATGTTTCTGTCTAAATTATATTCCCCGAAAGACAGACTGAAATATTTCTATAACACATTCAATTTGAAAAATAGTTTTATTTCCTTTCAGTTATTTTTCTACTTTTAGTTATTTATGACATATAACTATCAGAGCATAATTTGAGACACAGGAGGAAGTATATCTGTCTTCTCCTTCAAAGAGCTTTTTTTTAAAAATACTTTTATTTTCTGTTTTCCCTAAGACACTAAACTGGACTTGTATTTATCTTAACTTTCTGTATCAAATACACTGAAATAGCAAGCTCATTATTAAATAGAAAGTATACTGACTTAATATGAAGCTGTAACTCCTTTTTTCCTCCAAGGAAATCAAAAAATAAAGTCATATTTTAAAAGAACAGTTCATTTGGAAACTTTCCTTTCTTTAGCATTCTGTAGCATAGAATGTAAATTGTAATTAAAACAGATATTTAAGAATAAGTTCATATTGATCTGGTAAAAAAACCTTACTGCTGTCCCAAGACGTGTAAGAAAATGTAAAGCAGTGTAACTAAAAACCATTGTTCTGAACTCTACCTTCTCCTTGAAGAAAATTAAGGTAAGGTCCAATATTTATGTTAATACATAAATATTCCTTGGGCATGTTTATAAATACACACACTTCAAAAAACATGTTACTGACTAAAACAGAAGCATGTATACAGCAAACATACTTATGGTCAGACTGGAACCTTTGGGTAGTCAGGCCATTCTAAGTACAGACTGCAGTGCAAAAAATTAATAAAGGATGTGCAGTCTGGTTACTAAAGATACCCTAATATCACTGCATCTTGGCAATGCACACTTTGCTAGAGACTACTGTTTATATATAAGATTGTGCAATAATTTTCTATACAGAATACTTTCTAAATGTGACTATTTTTGGAAGGAGTAAAGAAAGAGAAAAGGAGAAGACAGTTGAATTAGTCTGAAATTTTAGAATGTCTTACTCTGTTTATGTCCTGGCTAGAAGATTTTTAGAGTCAGAGTTTCAAATTAGAAATGCTTTCTGGATTGATTTAGGCTGAGAACCAAATGAATAGAGATTTTACACAATTTTTTTCTGTGCTTGGGAACATTTTAATTTTTGTGAATGAGAGACAAAAATTTTCAAGAGTAATCTTAATCCATGGTTTAGTACTTGGAAGAGACTGAGCTGCCACAAACAACTATTTAATGTCTAATTATTATTAGTTCAAAGAAGGAAGAGTTTTCTTTCTCCTTCCAATTAGTTAAAAAATTCACATTAATCATGGTACTGAAATATTAAACTTGTATTTGCCTGTCAACAAAGAGGGCTTCCTGACATTTAAAATGTATTAAATAATAGAAGAATTCTAGAAACTGTATCTAACTATAATGGATTATTAGAATAAGGAAAAGAGAAATAAATACTGAGATAATTTTTAATAAGCACAAACTTAGACATATGGATGTCTGATACACATTTACAGGTACACTTAGAAACCTGCCATTAATATTTTCTACCAAAATAATTACTGCCTTTAACTTGACAGGCATAATGAAGAAGAATGACAGGCACTGTAATATCTTCCAAGTGTCATGAAAAAAATGGTATTGTAATGCCAGAAACACCTACAGATAAAACAACTTGTGACAGAACTTACTTTCTGCTGTCTGTAGTATTATCTCATCAAGCTCCTTTTCAAGTTTTTCGTAAGTATCTAATCTTGCTTGAAACTCAGAATTCTGTGTTTGCAGCTCAATAATGCGGGTTTCGCTAGAAGACTGAAGACTATAAAATTCCTTTGTAAGTACCTGTGAGAATGAATAATGGAAAGATCAGGCATTCAGCATTAGGATCAATGATTTTTGAAAGAGGCAAAATATAATACATTTAAAATGTGCACCAGTATGGTATTAAATATTTGATGTAAGTTTTGCACAGCAAAGATTAAAGTACTTTAAAAAGCAGTCATTCTTTCAATAATATTATCTTGCACAGATTAACCTCTCAGATCTTAGGCCTATCTGCTGAGGCCTTAGTAATTCTAAGAAGCTGTCTGAAAAAGCTAGAAGAATTTTAAAGGAAGCTTAGGAAAAGCCATGTAACAACTAAAAAAATTCACACACAGCAGTCAAGATAGTGTAAATGCAGTAATTGTTGCTTTAACTGGATTCTGATTTCAGTCATCAATTTATGAAGATTCCTTTGCAGAATGCAAATATTAAAATTTGCCATTAAAGCTATACCAGTCTTATTACTTACTTATTAATAAAAGGTAATATGCCATCAACATTCAAGATTTAAGTGAATACTTAATCCACTAAGTTAAACAAAAAACTCTCATGTTCAAAAGTAAAAGCTATGGAGGCCTGTATAATAATTTAAATTTGATGAAGTGGTTGATAATAGGAAACAACATTGACCAAATAAATATACACCAAACTGGAATAAGAAAATCCTTGGTATGTAAAATAGCAATCGACATACTTTGCAGAAAAAAATCCCACCAAAACAGGTAAAGTAATAACCAAGTGGTACTGCTGTTAAATGTCATACTAACTTCCAAAGTAAAAATCACAAACATTTAGAATGACAAATGAATATATACTTGGAGATACAGAAATACATGCACAGGTGCAGAGCAGTAATACTAGAGTCACTGTCGAAACCACAAGAGAACACACAATGCTTAGAGAAACACATCACTTGAATATAAAAAGTTCAGTTTAGTGTCACAGAAGAAATAAATGTATATTTTGAAACTGGGCAACATATAAATCATGTGTTTTCCAGTTTAGCAAGAGAAATTACTCTATGCCCTAAATAAAAGCAGTCAGTCCAGAAAAGCTGTAGCTGAGCCACAAGATACCAGTGCCTACACTATTAATAAAGACCAATGTCCTGTAACAATAAGGAAGAAACCTTAGTAAATTAATGCTATATATAAGAAAGAAAAATAAAAAAGCCCCAAGAATTCAGTCAAAAGGAACAAAACTAAAAGCTTCAGACATCAAATATTTAAATTCTGCAAGAATATGTCTTAATGAAAGAGCACTTAAGTGCATATTTCTTAAAGAAAGAATTTAAAAGTGTCTCTCTAAAGAGGAAAGAAGTGCCAAAAATGTTAGTAGAATTGAATGCCAAATATTTGAGTTATTGTCAGATCAAAAAATTTCCACAAAGAAAATGAAAATATAACTCAAATTGAACTACATTCTCCAAGTTTAGACATGTCTGTGCAATTAAAAATCTGTTTAGCAACCTCTAAGTTTAGCAAAACTGGCACTCCCAGTGCTTGTGATCACAACTAACCTCATCAGACAGGATCTGAATGTCCCAATACGGACAAAACAAGAGATTACAGCCTAGCTGAAATGCTCTAATTCTATTTCCACTCTATAGTTCCTTTTTATAAACAACTTAGGCAGGTTCAGCACTAGAAACAGGGTGACCTGAATACCGGCAATCTTCCCCCAAAAACAAAGGCTGTCACAGATGTCACTTCCTTCTGTCCCATCCAGTTTGTATCCTGACATTCATTTGAAACATACACTATTAACCTCCTTTAAATCTGATAAATAGGACTCCGTGGTAAGTTTTTTGGGACTGTGGACAAGCGAAGAAACTTTGTTTTAAAGTAAGTTTTCTTTGTGGAATACTCACATTTCCAAGATTAAAATAGGTGAACAGGATATGATTTGTACGTTCTAAAGGTAATAAATTCTAAGCTTGAAGAGGGCCCAAGTGCTTAAAGCCCACATAAACATGTGCATTGGCTGCAGGTGTCCAGGCTGTGTCCCTCAGCCAAGGGGGCTGCACCTCAAGGAAACTGTATTTAATAAAGCACAAAAATACTGCACGGCAGTGAGGAGTGAGAGGAAAAAAAGTGAGAGTGCTATGGTGCTGACACTGAGGCGAGAGGAGGGGAGGAGGTGCTCCAGCTGCCAGAGCAGAGATACTCTCTGCAGTCCATGGTGAAGCAGGTTGCCTGCCTGCAGACTATGAAGGACCACACCAAAGCAGATGTCCACACTGCAGCCCATAGAGAACACCATGCTGGAGCAGGTGAACATCCCCTGAAGGCATTGCAACCTGTGGAGAGCCCAAATAGGAGAGTTTCTCCTAAAGGATGAAACAGGACATGAAGGACCCACACTCAGAGCAGATAAAAAAATGTGAAGAATGGGTATTAAGTGAAATTAGTTTTCCCCAGGTGAAATCTGTTTTGCCCATGATGGTAATTGGCAAGTGATGTCCCTACCTTTGTATCAACCCATGCTCTTTATAAGCGTATTTACTCCACCCCCATCCTCTTCAGGAGGAGTAATAAGTGAGTGGGTGGGTGTCTAGCACCCCAGCAAAGTAACCCATCATGCTAGGACTAGCAATGTTAGGTCTTTTAAATGCTGTATGCACCATGCTCACTTGACTTTTTTAGCTGTGAAAAATTTATTCCAGAATTGTGTATCAGTAAAAAGTATTTTGTTATGTAACAATTCTATTACAGATCCTATTTGCAAATGATACTGAATTCACTGTACTTTTGTACTGTAGTTTTGGTGAAACTGTCTTCTCTCCCTGCAATTCTCACAGACTGACATAAGCAGCTTTGTGTCACAAACAGATAAATGTTTATATTTATTTTATTATAATAATATACTTATATTATACCCACATGAATGAGGTACTGTCTTTAACATCTTTCCATGAGATATTCTTTTACTTTTTCCTCTCCCCATGGTCTAGTGTTGCATTAAGCTGATCAAACCTAGCAAGCTTTGTCACTTGACCCTGCTTCTGCAGAATTTGGTAAAGATATCAATTCAGTCATGCCATGTTGTTGCTTTTCCCCAAGCTTTTCCATTTTACATTCTAATTGAAAACAACTATGTAATGCCCTGTAAAGTGTCTCTTTATGTAACATACCTCCAGCTTCCTCTGGTATTTTTCACATTCCATTTGGCACTGTGAAAGGTTCTTAGCTGTTTCTTGTTGCATGAGTTGAACATGTTCAGTTTCAAAGGACTTCAACTTACTTTGGTGAAGAAGTTCAGCTACTTTGCTTTCTGTGCCAAGCTGCATTTGTCTATACCTAACAGAAAAATGAAAAAATAAGTTTTTATGACACAAAAAAAAGCAGTTGAAATATATCCTAGTTCTGTTCACTGCAGGTATAAATTTCAAAAATTAATATGGTATTTTGAAGACTTTAACAGGTATTGGTATGGTTATCTATGTAACTATTGTAACCTGTATTTGAAAGATCATTAGGAAAACCCAATATTATAATGACAATACAACACAGTAGGTGGAAAACTCTGCAAATGGCTTTTCAAAATATGTTGTTCATGCAGAGTCAAATGACAATGTATACATACAGTATAACTTATTTTCCTTATTTTTAAAGTGTTAAATCAATGTGAATCTCTTGGTACACAAATGTATGCACTGAAGTCTCTTCATTGGAGAGACACTAATGAAATGTTGTCTTCTTCACCACCATGTGTTACATGTGATAGGGAGAAGTGGCATTAAACATCAGTGATATCAATGGTGTACCCTTTAAGATATCATGGGTATCAGCTATACTGCTTTTTTTCCATAGCCAAAGATATGAAGAAAAGTCTGACCACAATGGTGTAATAATTTCCAAAGTCACTCAGAATTACAGATCCTTCTCAAAAAGCAGAAATGAAGTATAATTTTTAGAAAATCACTGTAAGGTAGTTATGAGTGACAAATAATATTCCACTTAGAAGTAGACTTCATCTGTTTTATTCATTCATTCTACTTAACAGGCAATCTCAAAAATGAGATGTAAAGAAGTTTGCTGATGGAATACTATAATATTAGATGAAAATTTAGGCGATGTGAAGAACAGGAGAAAATCTAATGAATCTTAGCATTAAATAAATTCAAAATTAAAAAGAGATATATGCAAAATAAATCACAGGTTTTAAAAATGCTTCTGACCATATACATAAAATGATGAACTCCTAGTTGACTGTTTTCATTCATAAGTGAGATCTTGGGATTTATTATACTTGATAAAACCATTAAAACTTTGGTTCAGTTTTAAATAATGGTCAAAATATACATATTGGAAATTACTGTGGAAGAAATAAATAATACAGAATTCACTGTGCTACTTTGCAATTCCATGTTGTTGCCTGCATTACTGAATGTTGACAACTATTCTAGTACCTCACCTCACAAGGATAAGAAGTGTCAGAGCATCAGAGAAGGGTAGGAAGGGTTATCTCTGACATCCAGCAACATCACGCACTCACAAAATTGCACTGTGTGAATAAATCATTAAGCAAGCTAGGAGTCGACAGCTTAGAAAAGAGATGGTATAAGGAAAAGGAAGGAGTAAGGAGGCTGTCACATCATGAGAATGGAGATAGGAAGCAATTGTATTTTCCAATAGATGAATTAGAAGTCCTCTAATGATGCAGAATGAGCAAAAATAAATCTCTCTTCATGCATGAAAGCTGTGGAATTCCTTAACATGAGATGCTGTGGATGTTAAAAATTAACACTTAATTGACAGAATACTGAACAACTTGTAGCAGAGAAGTCCTTTGAGGACCATTAAATGCAAGATGACACTTCTCACACTGAAGCCATTTCACAACAAACTGCAGAATTGCCAGATACCTCTAACCCAACATGGCTGTTGTGTTAGCTGCCATTTGTCAAGTAACAGTTGCAACAAAATTCCACCCAATTTAACATCTTTAGGTGACATGGAGAGTGTTTTCACATAAACAAGGGGATTACTTCATAATTTATTAATAATTAATAATTTCCCTGAGTATTCCAGATGTAGGGAGTTCCTAAGGCAAAAAAAAAAAAAGAGGGAGCAATTTTCACTGGAATTAATTTGAACAGCATTCATCATTATGATGTCCCTGATAATCACTCTGAAGACATCAGTCTATGTGTAAACAGTTCATTGAATGAATAAGATTGTTCCCTCACTGCATGAGTAGAGCTTGGAAGTCCTGCTTACTGAGCTCATGAAATTTTTTTCTTTTAAATTTTTTTTTTTTTTTTTTTTAATAGTATGACATTTGTTCTTAAACAAGAGTTACTGCACTCAAGCTGCTAAATGCCACCAACCTATTGACTACTCCAGTCATTTTTGCTTAGGGATGCCTTTCAAGTGCTGATACTTTCATCACTGTTTCCTGACTGTATGTTCCTGTTTTCATTTTACCACACACAAAAAAATCCAGCACTCTTGAATTTTCCATACTTTGACTGGCTGCAAACATGACACTACATCTGTTCTGGTACACACATTGTTTACAATCCTGGGAAGAATGCTTTGTTCCAAAAGGAGTTAAATCTTCATGAAGATACATGTCTTTCAGCCAACAATGCAATGAAATACACAAATTTAATTTAATTATTAGTTATATTTATTGACTCTCAGTGACAATTTTACATCTTCCACCTCAACACAAAACAAAGAGCAATGCCTTCCTGTACGCAGCCTCAGACCTTCAACCACTCTGAGCTTCAATGATCTGTACTGTACTGAGCTGACACACTGGCAACATGCATGAACAGAGGCAATCCATACTTCTCTGTATCCACCTTCTATACTTGGTGGAGAAGTCTGTAGTTCTCTGGTGATTCTACTCAATCAACTGGGTGCTTTCAGAGCATGCTTCTCAAACCCAGTCATGAGCAGTAACTTCAGAAAAAATTTTATCCTTTGTTTTGGAAATTTGAAGTAGGTTACGTGAGCGTGATCTGTTTTGCATTGGCAAGGTTATGATGGGTCAGTTTTCTTTTAACCTTACTACACTCTTGATCTCACTAGTAACTCCTTCACCATAGCACCATTCAGAGTTTCTTTGTCATATTTGCTTTTACTTGGCCAGATAGTATCTCTGCTTTCTTGGCTACTATTTCAGTACAAGTGTGTGTGCATGTGTGTACAGTCATGTAACACAATGTGCTGAAATACATTCCTTCATCTGCCTAGATGGTCTCTGAGGGAAAACAAAAAAAAAAAACAAAAACAAAACCACCCTATGCTTTAATACTACTATTATGGAAAAAAACCCACAAGAGTGGAATGTGGGTCTGCAGGATTTTTCTCTGTTGAGAAATTTTAGCAAACTTGATATAATGAAAGAGTAGAGTTTTTAGTCTCACAGAAAAATGAGGGTTGGGAATCAAAGAGAAATTACAGATTCAGCCAATGAAAAAAATCCCACATGTAAGAATCATCTAGAATGAGACATAATTCCTTTATGTCTCTCTGCCATTAGGTTGACCAGTCAATGATGCCTGAAGTTTGCTAAAGCTGTGACATATTCATGACAAAAAAATTACTTCCAGAGTAAAGGAGAAGAGGGAATACTCAGGGACGGACTTGAACTCTTTTTTGTAAGGTTTGAAAGATTTTTTATTCACAGGAGCTTGTTTTTTGAGTAGTGGATGATGTTATAATAAAGTGTCAAAATATGCATACCAGACAAGAAACAAAGATTTAATGGTAAAATCATGTAGTCTGGATACTTAAAATACAGCAACCTACTAGTTTTTGAATGGAGGAACTATAAACTGCCCACCTACAAAACCTGAGATGTACAGCAGTACTCCTTTAAAAGGTAATTGAACAATGAAGTACATTAGAAGACAATTTTTACAATTACCTGTTCAAGAAGTGGCAAATCAGTATTAAACTTGTTAATAAGAAAGAGTGCCAAGCAAGTAAATAAAAACTATGTATCTTACAAAGACAGTCCCACCAAAATGATACAAAATGAACTCTAATTTTAATTTTGTAGACCAGATTAGCTCAGCCTAAAGCTTTGTGGGATATATTTTAGAAATGATTTTCAAGTTTAAAAATGGAAAAAAATCCCTGTAAGTTGTGAAATCACCCTGAGTCCACAGTTGGGTCAGTTCCAGATCTAAGATCTTTAAAGCAATTAGAATATACTCTCATATTTGTACAAATGTCTGTGCTTTGGTTCAGTGCCAAATTTGCAAAGAAACCTAAATGGTACAGACATTTCCTCCCTAACCTGTCCTCCTGCAAGCCTCCCACTTCCAGCCCCAACATGTCCCCTAATGTTCCTGACCTTCTCCCTCTCTGTCCCAGCACCAGTTCCAGATGTCTCTTGAATTCCTATTCTGTTTTCATTCTTTATTCCTAGGACATCTGTTTTTCTTATCTATGTTTATATCCTATTCAGCCTCCATTCCTATCTTATAGCCCTACTCTCTGCATTCTGGATTTCTCTCTACTTCTCCTATCACCCTTGTAGTTTGGCATCCTTCCTCAAATCCTACCCATCCTTACCTCTTGTAATTTGGGGTTCAAATCCCTTGTTTAAGATTGTTTAACTTTCTCACTGTCTGCAACTGAGTCTGCCTGTTAATGCCTCCTCACTTCCAAAGAGCCCCAACCTAAGCATAAAAGTACACAAATACTCCTTACTCTCCCTTGTGCCAACTGGAGTCACAGAAGGAGTAACAGTGGTCTAGATAGACCTCAATTAAATTCAGTCTGTCACAGACTGCACAAATCCTGTCCATACATGCAGCAAACTGCCAGACTCCAGTTCAAATATGGGTACTCAATGGATCATGTTTCCATTGGTTTTCTTTTTGATCCTTGGTACTAAAAACTGGTTGGTTTATTTCTGAGCAATCAAAAATTTTCCATTAATTGTGTTCACATATTACTCACTAAATAACTAAAAATGTAGGAACTCAGAACCTTAGTTTTCAAATACTTTCACTGTTCAGCTTTTGCAGCACACAGATTAAGTCTGATTAATCATATATCTGGCTAGTTTCACAAAATGAAAGTCTGTTTCAATTTTTACTAGAAAATGTGTAAGAAATCTGACATTCATTTAAAATACATATTTTATGAAGTTTTTATTCCAACTTTATAGGCATTTTCAGTTTTTTGTGGTATTTATTACTTCATTCATGTCTATCAATTACATTATTTCTAATCTGGTCTAAAATAAAAATGCACTTTGTAACAACAAATTTAAATGCCTCCAAAAACAACAACAAAGCTCTGAGTATAATGATTAAACACAAGATGAAGCA